ACAAAATGTTCTTTACCCATATAACTAACCAACATACGAAGATCCCACCTATTTTAACTGATTCGATTTTACCATAGTGGGTGAAAATAGATAAAGTCACAGAAGCTATCCCATCCATGAAACCTAGATCATTTCCCAAATAGCACAGCTTTAAGAGACTACCAAGAGTGAGATAGAAGCAGACAAAAGATGAAGCAATATGTATCTCCGCCACCGATTTATTTGCTGCTTGATCACTCACATACACCATTAACCTCAGGATCGATGCTTCCCCAACACTCTTAGCTAGACGGTAAAGGTTTATCCCGATTCTTCCTTCAACTCTGAGAACCCTTCTCACATTGTTTTCCCCACAAATAGCTGTAGCCAAAACCAGAACGACGGCAACGATAAGAAAAGCCCCATCTAGAGTCCAAAGATGAGGGATTATATATGCTTTAGGCTCTCTGTGATGTTTCTTCAGAATTGTTTCCCACAAGCTTGACCTATCAAAATACAGACACCCTCTCCAACAACACAGCAAACCCTGCGTTATAAGAGTAGCTCTAAACCCATACAACCATGAGATCCAACTCAAAACCCTATCGATTCTCAAGAGAATAGGTCTCAAAACATACCCGTAAAAGGGTCCCGAAACATAGCGGCATGTGGGTATCAAAACATAGCGGTAAACGGGTCTAAGAACATACTCGTAAAAAGGTAGCAAAACATAGACAAAAACCCCCCAAAGCAATATTGTAAAAACACCACATTGACAAGCGATTGAAAAAGGAAGAAAATGATCTAAAAATGGTGGAGAAAGATAGAGAGAGATGGAAAGAGAGAGAAATCACTTGCAAAGATGAGCAGTGATTTGTGGCGACACGATTTTATAGTAAGAGTATTTCTTATTCTTTATTTCTGATGTAAAAAAGGGTATTCGTCAAATTACGCTTTTTAAAAAAAACCTTTGTCGTTATATATAATATAAGCTGCAATATATCAATTATCGTTTTTTTTATCTAGAAAATAAATCAATAAATGTTTTTATATGTTGCTAAAACATTAGAATTTTCTTATTATTTTAATTTTCGAGCTATACTTCCAATTAATGTTTTTATATGTAAACGTAAGACACACACATATATTTTTAACACTTTTTTGTCTGTGTAACATTTTTACATTAGTGAGATAAAAAAACTCTTTTAGTAAGGTTTCATTATTAAAGTGTGTGATATTTATAGTAATTATATGTAATCAAAAATTTCTTCGGTACTTTGTAGTTTCAAGTTTGAATAAGAAAAATGGACTATTCTTTGTTTTTTATAGGCATGTGCATTTTGGGTAGAATCATTCAACCTCACTCGTATGCTATATTATCCAGATTTTTAAGGTAAGAAACATATAAGGTTTTTATTTTGTTCAATCTAATATATTTCAACAGATTAAATATGGTTCATGTGACTACCGGAGGTATCCTTATGAAATTATTTTACGCTAATTAATAAATTCTTAAAATATTTGAAAACGATCCATGTCCAAATCTTATTGTTATCCCTTTAGATAGTGATTTTAAATACCCTAATACTGTAAGTAGTACGCATTACTCCCATTATTTGAAGCGTTTTTAAAAATCAGTTTTTAGATATTACCTTTTTATACTCTAATTACATTTACTCAATTTTGATCCGATAAAACGAAAACGATGAAATCTCCAAAACTTTCCACCCTACTAAAGAAGTTCGTCGTCTCGCGAGACATCTCACGATTTCATGATGCGCCCATAGTTTTCTTGTTGAACTTCATATCAGTACTACTAAGTCGTAACAAACTTTAATATGGTTAAAATTTGCTGATACCCGTCGAGACTGCTTAAATTGGTAATTTTATTTTTCTGTAACTAAAATAGTACCCTTACTTTTTCGTTACAGATAAACTTTCATTTTTATTCATTTTAAAAAAAAAATAACGATAAAAAAATCATGTATTTTGTCTTTTATATACATTGGGATTGGGACAGGCAACGGAAAGGAGGGTGCCGAATGCTTCCCCAACGGCAACAAATATTTGTTGTTTTTCTCTATTTCGATATTAAGTAATTATGAGACACGTGTTTATCTTCAAACGTTAACACCTACACACCCGTACGTGTCGCATCCTGATTAGACTTCCAAAACAGATAAAATAACATATTTCAATATTTGTTACTCCATAAAAAAACATATTTAAAAGAAGAAAAAAGAAGAGTAAAAGCGACAGTGTTTGATTAGTCACGTGACAAAGTCACATCAAACATAGAGATCAAATTTATTCAACAATTCAAAACGACTTTCAAATTACATTTTAGAAGGCTAATAAACAAATCAAGCACTGTCGAAGATGGCTTTATTTATGTTTCCCATAGGAATTTTTAAAATTAATGCTTTTTAATCCAATTTTTCATATGCACCTATGTATTCAAGATGAATTTATTGTGATTTAAAATTAATGCTTTTTTATCTTATTTTTCATTTGCACGTATGTATAGTTCTACAGTCACTACAAGATTAGTTAAAACCCACAAATAACATAGCAAATTAAAATCATTAAACAAGACAAAAACAAATTAACCCATTTAAGTAAAAAAAAACTGATATTTTAAATTTCACTTATATATATATTTTTTAAAAAAAATTGGGGTTAAAATCCCTAACTACTTTTCTTTAAATATGATAAATATATTTAAGTTCAGTTATTTAATTAAACTATGACACAATCACTTATTGGATATGTTTTTTTCTGTGATTTATTCATCGTTTTTAACTGTATATCTTTCCATATTTTTATATTTTCCAGATTAATTGATGGAGTGGTATGTAAAAAATATGACTGACCATCTAAAAATATAAATGATCTGTTGTAAAATAATACATAATGGATTACCATCAAAATCAAAGAGATAAAGTGTATATTAATCGTAGTCATAATTGTGAACAACAAAATCAATAGTAAAAATATGGATTTGTAGATAAGCTAACTAACTATGTTTGGATTTGTAGATAAGCTAACTATGTTTGGACAAAACGCAAACATAGTCGCAGTAAAAAAAAACATTTAAAACAGCTGAGATTTATGATCATTGAAGTGTTTTTTATAGTTCTTCTCGATATCATTATGTTGTACGATGTGGGTAAATAATAATGTGAATATTCGTAAAATTCTTCGATCTTGTTCTTATACTAATGCAGCAGCTAAAGCGTCTAAAACAAGAAATTAATGATTTTGGAACCCTAATTAACTTGTTGATGGATCTTGAATAAATGAATAATTTACACAAAAGTTTGAGAAAGAAATCTCTTTTAGTTATTAAATAAAAATCAAAGTACAATATATCTCTAACAAGAGTATTTATACTTGCTACTTGTCTAATATGAAAAAATCCTAAAGCTTATAGGGCAAGTCATAAAAAGAAAGAAATCAACAAGGCTTGCATTTGTTGTAGCCCATCAAAAAGTACTATGTAGCTACATCACAATATATGCGAACAACTTTGCTAAGAAAAATAAGAAAAATGAAAAACAATAAGTATGATTAAAATAATCACTAAATCATATCATATTCTCTCTTCTTTTTGGTTTGTTAGTGATTTAGTATACATTTTGTATCTGATTTTTTTCTTTCTTTGCGGTATGTACGTTTTCTATTTCTGCTCTCTGTTTCTATACGTTTACTTTTGGATGTTGTTTTTTTTTTTGTTAAAGTACTTTTCGATGTTGTTAACCTAATATAATTAGCTAAACTATCCGACAATGACTTAGATACAAACCTATACATTTTCTCTATCAATAGATCGAGTTACACTTATTGTAAAAATATTGTTGGACTATTTTGAAAGTTATGATCGCATGCGTACGTAACTTTGCAATTAATTAACAATCTGCAAATTGCAATATATCATATTTTTCTCTTAGCGTCATGTATATTGTTTTTTGAAACTAAAGAATCACTCCATACATTGTGCACTACTTGTTCAAAACTAAATAACAAGCTGAATCTTTTTATCATCATAATCTCTTCATCTATTCTAATATTTATTCTTCATTTTCGAAATTCCACTTGCTGTGAGGAGAATATGGTCAAAAAGGAGGAAGAGAATAGAAAGGCCAAAGAAGAAGAGAAGAGAAATGCCAAAGAAGGAGAAAAGAAGAGAAATGTCAAATAAGGAGAAGAGAAGAATGTCCAAGCTGAAGGTGAGAAAATGGCCAAAGAGGAAGAAAAAGAACAGAAGAGAAGGCTTAAAGCGATAGAAAAAGAAGAGAAACTCCAAGCTGAAGCTGAGAAAAAGGCCAAAAAGGAAGAAGAAAAAAAGAGAAGTTCATAGCAATAGAAGAAGCGAATAGCATATAAGCTGAAACTGAGACGAAGAACGAAAAAGCGAAGAACATCCAAGCTGAAATTAAGACAAAGAACGATGACTGAGCGCATAATCAACCAGAATTTTAAAAAAACTCTTGGCTTGTTTGATTATTTTTAAGCAAATAAAAAGAACATTTGTTTTGGTTTATCTTCTCGTATACTTGGAAAAAAAAAACTTCTTTTCAGTTTTATATTTTTCCACGATGTTTGATTTCTTTGGTTGTGAGTAGTATACATCTTTCTCTATTGTGTGTGAGCTAAGTTGGGTGTTTATAAGTAATAACTATATGAAAATATAACATGGTTTTTTTTTTAATTCATCTTTTTTTTTTCCTGCAAAGTCACCATGCATGTATTTCATCTATAAACTAACAATACTAAATCATTTTCAAAAAAAAAAAAAACTAACAATACTAAATTATATTGACTGTAGCTCAACACACTTTTCAATAAAAAAAATTCATTAAAAGAAAAAACCACATCTCTTGTAATGGATCTTCGTGACTGATCTCTTGGTTATACAATAATACAAATCATTTGATTTTCGAGGAAGCAACAAGATTTGTAGATTTACGGCAGAAAATTCCGTCAAAGTTACAATCTTTGCAAACAAGATTAAAGAGAAGCTATTCACAGCAAACAGATTGGCTCTCCTTTTGCAACTTCTCCCACAGACACAAAACAAGCCGAGGAGTTTGGTAATGAACAAGGATGTAATTTGATTTACAGCCATTATTATGGAATCTCTTGTCATTGATATACTTGACTCTTTTTACACTCTGGTTGTATTGCTCAATCCATATCCCCATCGCCACATCTTCCAGCTTGAAAAGCTTTCACCAAAACAAAACAAGAACACCGTTATTTATTTATACCCTCTCTCAGATTAGTTATATATTTTTACAAAACTCACACTTAGATCTCTTTGACGGTGACCCTTCACCACAAATTTCGCGATATCCTGAGAGATGATGTAGCCAGGGCCATGTGCCCATGGAGGGTATGAATCTAAACGCCATAGCTTTACAAGTGACAAAGCGATATGAGCCTCGAAGAAGACAGAGCAAAGAAAGAAGTATTTATAGCCATTATTACCTCTTTACGGATGTACCATTTGCTGCCTTGTTCACGGTCTGGTGATGAACCGAATGATATCAAACCGTACAAAAGGGCACTAGACGGTTTTTTTTCTAGACTCGATAGCAGTTCATCGATCCGGACAAACGCATCATCATCCGTCTTCATTATGAATTTTGCTGGGATGACTTTGGTCTGTATCAACATGGAGAAACATTTAGAACGACTATCTCAGTGTTTCTATGCCTTTGTGTAAGTAGTAACCTTACCCCGAGAACGCAAAGCGCAACCGTTTTCAAGCTAAGTAAACCGTAGTAGTCGACGAATGGCATAAACTGAATGTCTCCATATGCTTTAGCTTCTCTCCACATCTCTAAATTGACTTTCCCATTGATGTGCTGACTCAAAAAAAAAACGCCAAGTTATTGCTGAAAAATGTACAAACCCAAGGCGAACATGTTCACTCTCAGAAGTACTTACAAGGCCAATGAGAAACCGGACAGCTACTTTGCCAGATCTTACTGCCTCATATTGCATCCAAGATCTTCTCAATGCCATACGCCGCTTAAAGTTATTCCCAGTGGAGAAAACACCCACCAACAATGATATTCTTGCTCCGGAGAGAGATGGAGCTTTAAGCTTCTCTTCTATGGCTAACGAAGGATGGTCATCCGGAACGGGCAGTCTTGTGGCTAAGGCAGATAACAGTTTCAGGCCACCTGAGACTTTGACAGCACTGACTAACCACGGCTTGAGCTTCTACAAATCAGATATATGTAGGTTTCAAAACAAAGCAACAACCTCAAAACCATCTTTGTGTAGCCGTTCCTTACCTCCCTGTAAGCAAATGAAGTCTCATGCCGCCCATTCACCGTCATATGAAAACCTTGTAAGCCAAACCACAACGTGGCAGTGAAAGGATTCCCTTTGACAAATGGAAAATTAATATTTCCAAGAGAAGACTCCATCGTTGCATCATCGTTGGGACTCTCCTCCAAAGCAATTCTACCGGTATGTTGGTTGCAGAGAGGAAGCTCATCAACTACAATGGTTGCCAAGAGACTGTTTCAAGATTTCTGAAGAACAGAGAGATATGTGACATCCGGAGTTTCGTTACCTCTTTGATTCTCAAACGATCCATGAGACGGGCATCGCATTTCGTTTCCCCACCCGAGCTGTTGTGTCCATGTGTTTTGCACTATGGATGGCTCAGAGAAATTCACATCATAACGCAAGATGATTGGACGACGGGTTTCTCCTGATAGTCCCGAGCCAACGAGCTGAATCTGGAAGCTTCTAGAATGTTCTTCAGGAACACCAACCAAAGTTATTGAAGAGTCTTTAATCAAACCACATGGAAGGTCAAGCAAATCCCCATCAAATGCAGAGACGAAATCTGGACAGTTTCTTCTAGTTTCCGTAGAGGCCTTAGCAGAAAAAGAAGCTCCTTTCTCTTTACTGGTCATAAAGACTAAACCTTTCATCGCCAATGTAGCTTCCTCAACCCCTTGAGCGGTTTCTGGCAAAGCATCTGGCCTTTCTAAGAATGGTCGCATAAGAGACCATACAAGCAATCCGCTCGAATCTCCTCCTTCTCCTGGAATGCTCTTGTTTGAAAAGAGGTAATCAAGATCTTCCAAATTCACAAAATGTCGTTTCTTTGCTGATTCATGAACGCTCTCTCCTTGTTGTATACTGGAATCAATCACAGTGTGATTCGTTGCAAGTTTATGATCATAACGGATGACGAAGATCAATGTGAGAACCATGAAGGAGATCCCCACCGACCAATTCCTCCTCATTCTGAGTGAAGTGGAACCAAATTTGAATTTCAACAATTGCATTATTAGTCACATCAGCACCTACGGAAAATCCAGATTCCGAGTTAGAGTGAACATTATCCGATTCTCAATTTCCGAATCCTAACGCCTCTGATGGGTAATTATCATAATTATACGAACAAGACCTCAAACAATGGTCGACGACCCAAAACTTTGGAGTATAAACTAACCCGAGACAACAAGCAACCAGAAGAGAAATAAGACCGAAATGATGCAGAAAAGAGCAGTCTTAGATGGATAATAGTAGACCAGAAGCAAAACGTAGCACTAACGAGGAAAATAGAGAGATTTTGAAACATCCAAGTCAAGTGTTTCAAGAGCTGAAAAGTTGTGTCCACTGTCAAATTGAGAAGCTTACCGGTTTATATTTTGAGGTATGGTGTTTTTTCAGGGGAACAGGTCATGGAGATCCAGGATCACAGTTGCAGAACAACCCAGAGAAGCCCAGGGCAATTTTTACAGCTGAAGCTGAAGCAGAGGATCTTCTCTGCTATAGTAGCATCAAAGCGCTGTCGTTTTCGATAGCACCGAAACGACGTCGTTACCCGGTTAGTGAACCGTTATTCTTTCATTGCCCCGAAAACGACAATAGTTTAGTTATTTGCATTTGATTCGTTTCGAACTTCACATTAAATTATCTTTCCCCAATTTTGACTTTAGAACACAAAATCTCATAATAACAGACAAAATAAACACAAGTTAGCTAAATTTCGTTGGTCACAATTCACAACAAATATGTTGACTACACAGACTTTCCTAAATTAGAAAGTCTCTGTTCTCCTCCTCCGGTGGCGGCGAATCGTGGACTGAGAGAAGCTCTTCCGGCAGGGGACCTTGGACTAATGTCTCCTCCTCCTCCTCTGAAATCACTTAAGCTCCGTATATACACTTTCTCCGAAACCCTTGGATTCTGAAAACTCACCACTCGTCTCATCAACTCCACTCCTCCCGCCGGCGAACCTCCCGGCGATCCACTTCCTCCAGCACCACCGAGCTTTATGCTGCTCACCCTCCTTATCTCTCCTCTGCTTCTAGTGAACATTCCGTCCATCACTTCTCCACTGTCCGCAAACGACGTCGCTCGGCTCACTTCACCTTCCTGCACAGAGATGGAATATCTAATTTGATCCATAAAGCCATAAACTTTTGTTAGACATGAAGAAGAAGAAGAGAGTTTATTACCGGTTTGAGGTTGAATGATAAGAGAGCAGGTGCTTCTTCATACTCTGCAGCATCCAAGTCTTGAAGATGAGCTCCTTTGAAGAAACTTGGCAACACGTATTGCCTAACCGGAACAAGAAACATTATCATCAACGGGAACAAAACTCCGGCTACCGGAACCCACGTGATCCCAAAGCAGACCAATAAGTAAGCCGCTTGAAACAGAGTGAACATCGCCATTGTCTTAAACGGAACCGTTTCAACAAACACCGCATGATTATCCTCAAGAACTCTGACGAAAAACAAAATTCACATAGATTACGATTCTGCAGCAAAAAAAACAAGATGCATACTCTGACTGAGGAAGAAAAGGTTTCATTTTTACTTGAATCTCCTGCTTGGGGCGGTGAAGAGAAGCACGATCCTTTCCCAGAATTGGTTCCCTGGGAGGCTCTCGATTGCCATGTAAGCGAAGTAACCCCAAAGAACCGAACTTGGGATTCTTTTGATCAGAGGCATCGCTGCAACACATCCAGCAACCATCATAGCCTGAAGAAAGTTGCTCAGTCTTTGCTCTTTTACCTCCACAGGCAATATATTCTCGACTTCTGTCTCTACATCGAACACTGCTTCATCGACCAGCGTATCTGCGTTTCCTAAGCCTGAAGCCTTTTGAGTTTGTGACTGTTTGAGTCCCTGAATCTGATATCCCCGGTGCTCGATTCAGGAACGAGATTAAAAGCCTATTTATAAAACTGATGATTGATCCGAACATACCCGAGAAGGCCCTTGGTGTATCAGAGGGCTCTGCATTTGCTGGTAAGCTTCTTCCATGCTTCCATACACTTGTCCTAAAGTTGCCTTGTTTCTGATGCATTTACGCGCAGCTGCCACGAGTTTGTTCCGAAGTAGCTGCACATCAACCACTGCATTGGTTATAAAAGCCATTGGAAAATGCAACTGAAAGCCTATATACACACACAGACAAGTGAGAAGAAGTAACCTGGTGTTTGAGTGTTGCCAAGCTTTTTGTGTGCATTGGAGATTGCGGGATGACGCCATTGGATGGAGGGATCCCGAGGAGACCGCAAATGATTGTCTAAAGAAGAAAAGTTTTTAACATTTCATATTCTGCAAACGGTCAAGTCAATAAATGAGTCAAGGAAAACAGATGTACTTCATCTTACCAAGAGGCCTAGAAGAAACAGGTCATAATGATAAGAAGGAGGCTTTCTCAGATTGAAATCTTCCTGCTGTGCGAGCTGCGAAGCTACACTGTGGTCAAAGTAGTAAAGAACCGCGATCATTGACGCTGGAACAAACGCCAAGAGAATGTAAAGCACAGGCACATCCACCATCTCCTGCAGTTTATTCATCATGCACTTTGATGAGTATGAACGTAAAGCATTGATAGTAGAGAGTGTGAGTAATTTGCAGGGAAGAAGTGATGATTTGCCTTAATGACAGTCCAATTCTGATATGCACCAGGAGACCATGGATTAGGACTGACGAGACGTCTTGGTATCCCTTGAGGAACACTTCTCCAAGGTATGTATGAGATACAAGTCCACACTACCACCATCACAGGTACACCGTAATCCGCTATAAACCCTCGTAACCATTCTGCAATCACAAGGATATTGATCATCCTGAGGTTCTTTTCTAGGAAGTATAAATGACTCTTGTGGCAAGATTTAAAGGTTCCTTACCAGCACCAAATCTCCAACTTCTTGCTTTTCTGCTTTTCAGTGCAGTAAACAGAAGTCCAAAAGACAAAACCAAACCGAACATTCCGTTTGCAAACACCCAAGCGGGTTGGAACTCAGCTGATCTCGGATTTGTTCTTCCGGGGACACCAAACTCATCCACGATGCCCTGAAAAAAGTAGAGAAAGTAACAAGCTTTTGATGCAAATGTACAAAGTTGTGATTGTAATCGAGTAAAGGAAAAATCTTTCACTTACTCTGATGGCTTCTTGCATGAAAAGCATGGCGATTAGGATACCAAAAAGTTCCCCAGCAAGTCGAGTGAATCGATTGATAAAGGTGCAAGCGCCTAACACAGCTAACAAGAACAACAACAGCCCCGTCCACAAGCAAACCCTTTAAGAGAAATCATTCATAAAGTTTTAGAGACTTTAAAAAAGCTTCTTGAAAGGAATTGAGTTATGTAAAGAGAAAGGATTGAGTTTACCATCCGGTCCATGCAAGAAAGAGATTAGATCCCAAATCCGGTCTACTTTTGGCGAAATTGAACATGAAGGTGTACATTATAACAGTAGGCTCTGCAACACCAAGAATCAGCAATGGCTGGCCTCCAATAATTGAGTGTATCACTCCACACAAAGCGGTTGAAACTAAGGTTTGAACAGCGGTAATCTTCCCATCTGCAAAGTTGCAAATTAAACAAATCACAGAACAAAAGTTTTTACTTTTCTTTTACTCTCTTTAAAAAAAACAGAGTAAATTATGAATGAGGAAACAAAAGAAGTCATTCTGATGTGTACCAGTATCTCTTTCTAATTGTTCTCCGAATGTAATCACGGGAATCGCAGATGCAAAGAATATGTAAGTTGTTGGTGCTAGAATCCTATAATATTTGCATAAATTAAGTTCAAATCAAAGCTCAAGCATTATTACTTTTGTAGAAGCAAAAAAAATAAGTGAATATACCTAAATCCAGCTCTGAGACCACTGATCCAATCTTGCTTGTAGCATCTGAGTCTCCCTTTGACATCATTCTTTATGCCCTGAAAAGGGACAAAGCTCTCTGCCTCGTCCATTTAGATTTGATGATGTGTAACTTGATAGTGTCCTACAAGTTGAAAACTAGAACAAGATTATGATGGATGATGATAAAGACTATTAACTAAGATTATGATGAATGTTTAAGACAACAAACTATTAACCAAGATTAGACATCTAAATCTAACTGATTCACTGGTTAGCTAAAAGTCACTAGAACCAAAGTAAACAAAGAGAAGCTGAATATATTTAGTGGCTAAATGAAATTGAATATTCATTTTACTAAGAAACTGAGATCCAAATATTATGAATATTTTTGCAGGAAGTTAAAAGAGAACCCAAACAAAAGTCCTTAAAAGCGCTAATTGCGGAGGGAGTCTTTCAAAAGAAGTACAATGGATTTGATGTGGGAAAAAAGGAGAAAACTTTTCAACAACATTTTGGACGAAAATTCAAAAGCTTGCGAGGATAAACAAACGAAAAAAGCGAAATACAGAGAGAATAACATGGGATCTAAGCTTGAATTCAAGAATGACTCAGAAGAAGGGACAAAAAAAACACTTACCAGAGACAAAACAGCTCAAAAAAGCCCAAAAGAAGAAAACTTTCTGAGATTAGGAGAAGAAGAAGAAGCAAATGAGCAGCTTCCCGTCTCTACTCTTGACCTCTGCGCAAGAGCCGTGAGAGTTTTTTTATGGATTAAACTGCTGCAGATTTAAAATGTTGTGGAGAAAACAAAAGGGCAAAAAAAGAGGAGTGTAAAGTTGAATTAAAAAAAAAGTGACTGTGTGATGTTGAGATCTTATGGGAGGAGAGAGAGAGAGAGATGTCTGTCTCTGTGCCTCTGCCTCGGGTTTCAGACAGTGCTCGTGATTGGTTACGAGTTTGTACACTTCCGCGCCTAACGCGACATTTTTGTCTCTTTTCACTTTTAACCCTTTTAAAAATGTTCATTTTAAATGAACCTCTCTGCCTTTGGTTTTCTCAAGTTGAACCATGATCTCTTCTCTCGCTTCAAGAGAATTCATATTTTGAGTGTTAACTTTCCTAGGATTGAAGATGTGGAATCTTTTTTCAAAACGTCTCATTCCTGATAAGGACGATTTACAGTATTTATTGGGTTTTGAACCAAGAAAAACAAAAAATCTGATTTTTTGTAGAATTTTCCCAATAAATAGTATATTTCTACTAGTGGCATCTGTCATTGTGATACACGTCTTATGATATTTACATCCATGGTATTAATAAGAAAATGTGTGTTTAAGCGATAATCAATGTAGTAATAGTCTAACACTTCCTTGTGGATTCAAAATGTTTAACCTATTGAGGTTTAAGCCCGACCAAAATGGGTGCCAAGCCCAAAAGACAATAATTGTAGCCTTTTTATCTTTGAGAAATATCTAGCTTCAACTTCAAACGGTACTACAAACATCGCCACTGTTCTTAAAAACTAAACCAAAAATTCATTTTTTACTCAATCTTTAGACGCTGATATATATATATAAAAAAGGAGTATATAGCAAAAATATTTCAATTTATAATATGCTTGTACAATATAACGGTCTTCAAAAATACGCAGAACAAAAACCGTATTCTTATTTATCAAAGCTCAATGCAAATAGCGCAAATGCAATGCATCATAATCCCATTAACAACAACTAATAATAATTCGATTCGGTAATATAAGATTCCATGGGACCCACATTCCATAAGTAGATAACCTCCGAGTGTCTCTCTCTCTACCATATCATTAAACTTCAATCCCTCGAAACCGCTGTTTCATCCGCCGCCGGGAAGCGGAGGCGCGTGAGATTTACGCAATGGCATCAGTTTACTCCACCCTCACCGACTGGCTCGTGAACCATCCCAACATCGCCACTTTCACGTGGACGGAAGGTGAAACCCTTGGCTCCACCGTCTTCTTCGTCTCCGTCGTAGTCTCCGTTTACCTCTCCGCCACATTCCTCCTCCGATCCGCCATCGATTCACTCCCCTCGCTCGGTCCCCGCATTCTCAAACCCATCACGGCCATCCACAGCCTCATCCTCTGTCTCCTCTCCCTAATTATGGCCGTCGGGTGCACCCTCTCGATAACCTCATCCCACGCGCCCTCAGATCCGACGGCGCGTTTCCTCCACGCGATCTGTTTCCCCGTCGACGTGAAACCTGACGGACCGCTTTTCTTCTGGGCTCAGGTCTTCTACCTCTCGAAGATCCTCGAGTTCGGAGACACAGTACTCATCATACTCGGCAAATCGATCCAGCGGCTCTCGTTCCTCCACGTGTACCACCACGCGACGGTTGTGGTCATGTGCTACCTCTGGCTCCGAACCCGCCAATCGATGTTTCCGGTTGCGCTCGTGACAAACTCGACGGTACACGTCATCATGTACGGTTACTACTTCCTATGCGCCGTCGGGTCGAGGCCCAAGTGGAAGAGGTTGGTGACGGATTGTCAGATTGTGCAGTTTGTTTTCAGCTTCGGGTTATCCGGTTGGATGCTCCGAGAACATTTCTTCGGGTCGGGTTGCTCCGGGATTTGGGGATGGTGTTTCAACGCTGCGTTTAATGCTTCTCTTTTGGCTCTCTTCTTCAACTTCCATACCAAGAACTATGCCAACAAGACAAGAAGCGATGGGGCGCAAAAAAGCCGATTAGATTAGATTATATGAAAGATTGTCTTTGAATTATTTGTTGAAGCATTAACACTTTTGTTAAAGCAAAAGAGAAAATAAATGAATTTACCTAAATCCAGCTCTGTGACCACTCATCTATTTAGATTTATTTGGTGTGTTCAAGTTTTCTACTTGATAGTGAATGATTCACAGACAAAGCATTATCAACCAAGAATGTATTTCCAAATCCAACTTAATGATTCAGATTCAGTGCTTTTCTAAGTATCTGAAACTGGTTTTACTTGTAGCTTAAAGTCAGTAGAACCAAACTAAGCAATCAAAAATTTCGTTAATGTAGCTAAAACTGGTTTTCTAGTTTGATCCCGCAACTGTAGAATAAATTATAAAGTAGGTGTGAACAATTTGGATCCAACCCAAAATAGCTAAATGTATATATGGTTTTCTTCAACAATTCATTTAGGGAGGTTATTAGAAGATAGATTTGAAATGATTGTTATTTTCAAAATCTATTGTTATTAGTTAATGGATTATGACATTTTTAATAAAATCTGTTGTTACTGGTTTCATAATTTTTAAAATATATTGTTTTCTAAAAAGTTTGAGTTTTCATGATTCTATAATTCCACTTTATTGGGCCATAAATGTTAAAACAATTTAATTTATGAAACAAGATTTTCAGAATACTTTATATATCTTTTAGATTTTGAAAGTTATTATAGTAACATATTTTGACAATTTTTCTAAATATACAAAGTCTCTGCAAATCTAACAAAAAAAAACTTTACTACTTTAACAAATCTTATTATTTTAAAAATCAATCAACTCTTTATAAATACATCTTTCAGTAATCTCAGATCTTTATATAACCAAAAGACTCAAATAAAACCCACTTTTTTACATAAAACCATATTGGATATTAATAAACTGTATATCAAGGGGTTTTTTGCTTTATTTCTGAATTTTAAATTATTATATCTACTGAAACTAACTTTCAAACTTTATTTTAGATGCTATTGTTACTTTTTATAAAAACATGATATAATCAGTTCCAATTCAAATCCTAAATAACCCAAAGAAAACAAATTTTATGTGGATTGAATTTAGTCTCAGATTTCTGGAACAAAAATAACACAAACCCAACCCACAACCTAAAAAGCCTAATCTAAAACCCAGTTTGGCCACCCCTAGTGTAAGAGGATCGGCGCCACAACTGTCAACCAACTAAACCAAAACTTAATTGTAAAGTGACCCAAAAACTTGTTTATTATGTCTTAGTGTCGCTCCAAGCCTAAACTACCTCTTATTAATCCAGGATCGGTTTTGACTAATTGCACATCACACACTTGTGTTTGAATTTGATATCCACCTGGAATTGTAAGTACCGAGTCATCATCGACTATATAAAATATGTGTAAGATTCTGACATCAAATAAAATCTCTCAATCTACAAACGAAGAAAGTAAATGATGCATTCTTCACGATAGTACCTTCCCACGTTATGCATAATAATAACAAAAAATCTGATGATGCATTCTTTACGATATTACATTCCCACGTTATGCATGATGAAAGAAAAAAAATTGATGATACATTCTTTACGATATTACATTCCCACGTTATGCATGATAAGAAAAATAAGCCGATTGGGTAACCCATCTCTCTCTCTCTCTCTCTCATATATTCTAAATTCTCATCAGCGCCGGGAAACCGGAGACGCGTGAGACCCGGCGACGCAATTGCATCGGTTTACTCCATGTTCCATTAATATTCCCGACGCAATGACGGCATCGGTTTTACGCAATGACATTGGCTTTCATTAATCAAATAAGATTTTAAAAAATGTGTATATATATATATGTCGCCTCTCTCCCTAGCTACCATAACCTTAGAACTTCAACTGCTCCAAACTTGGCCTGAGAATGGCGTCGGTTTACTCCACCCTAACCTACTGGCTCGTGGACCACCCCAACATCGCCAACTTCACGTGGACCGAAGGTGAAACCCTTGGCTCCACCGTATTCTTTGTCTCCGTCGTAGTCTCCGTTTACCTCTCCGCCACATTCCTCCTCCGATCCGTCATCGAGTCACTCCCTTCACTCGGTCCTCGCATTCTCAAACCCATCACGGCCATCCACAGCCTTATCCTCTGCCTACTCTCCATAGTCATGGCCGTCGGTTGCACTCTCTCCCTGACCTCGGGTCCGACGGCGCGTGTCCTACACGCGGTCTGTTTGCCCGTCGACACGAAACCTAGCGGACCGCTTTTCTTCTGGGCTCAGGTGTTCTACCTCTCGAAGATCTTCGAGTTCGGAGACACAGTCCTCATCATACTCGGCAAAGCAACCCACCGGCTCTCGTTCCTCCACGTGTACCACCACGCGACGGTTGTGGTCATGTGCTTCATCTGGCTCCGAACCCGCCAGTCGATGTTTCCGGTAGGGCTCGTGACGAACTCGACGGTACACGTCATCATGTACGGTTACTACTTCCTATGCGCCGTCGGGTCGAGGCCCAAGTGGAAGAGGTTGGTGACGGATTGTCAGATTACGCAGTTTTTCCTTGGCTTCGTGATATCCGGTTGGATGTTCCGAGAACATTTATTCGGGTCGGGTTGCTCCGGGATTTGGGGATGGTGTTTTACCTTTGCGTTTAATGCTTCTCTCTTGGCTCTCTTCTTCAACTTCTATTTCAAGAACTATGTGAAGAAGACAACACTAGAGAGGTTGGCCAAAAAAGCGATTGATTATTATTATTCAAAAGAAACGAGTAAATTGTCTTGATTTGCTGAATATTTCATCTCTTAATGTGTTGCTGCTGCAAAATGTTGGGATTGTTTTTAATTCTTTGTATTATGTATGAATAAGATGACAAAAGTCAAAAAGATATTAAAAATGTGACATTTAAACATGAAAAAGAAGACGCCAAGTTTGTCAAGTGAGAAGACTAATACTAACGATCTGGCATTGGTGTTACATAAACAGATAAAATTCTCAATACATTACAAACCATCTCTCCATAATACAACAAGAAAATGAGGATAAAATTTTTTTTTTAACAAACTTCCAGCCCACAAATGATTTGGTGGATTCATTCAATTCAATAACCAAAAATATTGGGATGACTTGACCGGTTTTGAACAATTATCTGTTTCGTGTCTTGACTTTTAGGAATCATCAATCACTGGTCGTACTAAAGCCGCTTCTGCCTCTGGCTCGACAACCCCATTCCCTTGTCTCTCAGACAGTGGCGTAGAGACCACGGTTTCAAAAGCCGCCGCTGCTACTGTGTCCGGGTTCACTACAGACTCAACTGGTGGTTTAATATCAAACCCAGAAACACGCGGTGGCCTATCTCGTCTTTCATAAACCGGGCTAGGACTACGGCTATAGCTTCTGCTCCGATTATGACCACCACGGTCACGGCTATGCCTAGGGCTACGACTCCTTGAGCGTGACCAGCTCCTGCTACGGCTACGACTATAGCTCCGGCTCCGGCTACGGCTATAGCTACGGCGCCGCGGCCTAACCAAATCAGGACTTCTGCTACGGCTTCTACCTCTTCTGTTATCAAACCGTCCACCACCGCCACGCCCAAAGCCTCTACCACCACCACCACCGCCACGCCCAAAGCCTCTCCCGTCCATATTATTATTGCCAAACCGACCAAATCCGCCTCTACCCACATTCATATGACTAGCATCTGGACCAGGAAAACTCCGACCCCGATTCCCGCCACGTCCAAATGAGTCATCCCTCATTCCAAATCCGCCACTACGGCCACCAAACCCACCACCACGCCCACCAAACCCAACTGCAGAATCCCAACGGCTCCCACCACCGCCAGAGTCAAAACGGTTTCCCATGCCTCTTCGGTCCTGGCTAAAACCTGGACCACCACCACCACCACGCATTGCAATGTCCCTCACCTGAGGCGGTACTTGCTGGTTTGCTCCTTCCAGGACTTTGATCAAATCAGGCGCGTATTTCCAATCTTGCTCTGTAAAGAAAGTGAATGCAACTCCTGTTGCACCAGCTCGACCGGTTCTCCCAATACGGTGGACATAGTCTTCAACTCCAGTTGGAAAGTCGTAGTTGATCACAACTCTGTAATGGTATATCACAATCAAAGGTAAGGAAGGAGTCTTGATAACAAACAAGCACAGAGATATATACAAAGAACTAATGTAACAAACCTTATGTCTTTTATATCGAGTCCCCGGGCAGCAACGTCGGTAGCTATCAACACACACGACTTCCCGCTTCGGAACTGGTTAAGCACCCAATCTCTCTCACCTTGAGACTTGTCTCCATGGATTACAACAGCGCCAAAATTACGTCCGACACTGCGTGCAAGATGGTCACATAGCCTCTTCGTGGAACAGAATATTATAACTTTTGAACCTCGTTCTTGCGACCTGAGGATTTGCTCCAAACGTCTTTCTTTCTCCATTTGTGGGACTACCTCTACAAACTGAATTAACAAGCATGACTTTACTTCAGTAACCTCATCACCAACTTATGTGGAAGGATGACGAAAGAGTGATAAAAAAATTCCTAGATCATCACCTGTGTTATCGATTTGTTTGCAGCCAACTCATCTACGCTGCCTATGTTAACTTGGACAGGGCTCACAAGGAGATCGCTTGCAATTTTTCTAACTTCTTTTGGCCAAGTTGCAGTGTACATAAGTGTCTGTCTCCGAGGAGGTATTTCATTCACAATCTTACGGATTTGGGGTTCAAAACCCATGTCAAGCATTCGGTCTGCCTCGTCAAGCACAAGAAGGGAAACTTGCTGGAAATCAATCTGCTTCATCTCCAGTATATCATTTAGACGCCCAGGAGTTGCCACCACAATATCAGCTCCTCGTTCCAACTCTTTCAATTGAGGACCCTTTGGAGCTCCACCGTACAAGCACTGATATCCAAAATATAGATTAGCATCCAAACAAAACAAGACCAGGAAAAACTCTATGAGCCCTGATGAAAAATGTCAAAGAGACTCACAGTGCATGATATTCTGGAAGACCGGCCAAACCTAAGGGCTTCATCTTGTATCTGTGTAGCAAGCTCCCGAGTAGGAGCTAAGATCAAAACTGTGGGGCCATTGCGGGGGTCATTGCGACAGTGCTTAAGAAGAATGAAGGCAGGGATCAAGTATCCCAATGTTTTACCAGAACCAGTTTTTGCAATTGCAACTATATCCCTGCTCTGCAGAGCAATTGGCCATGTTTGAGCTTGGATCGGTGTTGGGGATGGAAATCCAGCAGAAAGCAACTGAAAGAAAAAGTTACAAACATTAACACACCATACGTATGAAAAACCAACGCCGCTAATATAGCTCATACTCAAACTGACCTCTCTAAGTATTTCAGGTGGGAGACCACTAGATTCAAATGTGATGAATGGAGCTGGAATGTTCTCACCCTGCATATAACAACGATAGATTTATAAAAGCGGCATACAAATTAGAATGAATGAGAAAGTGCAAGGTCTAACACTATTCTCAAATGCTATTACTTATTGCAGTTGAAGTTCGTCCAATCCCACATTCTCAGTAGAGTTTATGGACAAACATTCACTGAAACAACAATTGCAAAATATTACAGCACAATACGGCTTGAACAAATTTAACTGACAAATTAAGCAAAGCGAACTAAGAAATATGAACATACACTTGTCGAGACTTCATGCTGTTTTCGGTAGATTTCAACAGGCGAGAGATGGGGAACATCAGAAGGTGTGATAAAATGTGGCCTCGCTAAGGATTTATTTGGAAAAGCTGGACCAGCGTGCCCATATGTTCCATGCCCTGATTGCCCCATGGCGGGATCACCATTTGCAGGTGGACCACCTATCCTTACATCCTACATAGCAGCAATTTAATGGTTTTTCCGTGAGAAACGACTGTGAAGCAAAAGTATTTAACAAAATAGATAGGAAAAGTGATAATCTGCAGCTAACCTTAGGATGAAGTGGTTGGGCGCCCCTAACCGGCCCTTCCATTCTCGTGTTAACGTAGGAGTCACTCCCAGGTCTCGATTGTAAATTATTCTCATAAGTATTATTTGATCGGAAAGGGGAACCATGAGACTTCTGGTGCAACATGGGGTCCATGTGATTTGGAGGCCTAGGTCCAAACTGCTGGTAGAGCAGATTAGCCCCTGGCTGTTGAAACTGTGCGCCTGCAGCAGGATGTTGAATGTTTGCTTGAGGTCCATTGTATTGCTGCGCTAGAGCCAAGTTTGCATTTGTTCTTTGCGATGATGCTTTAGCCTCAAAGGGGGTATTTTGAGATGGCGAACCTTCAGCATTTTGAAAATGGGGTTGAGAAAACCCAGTTTTCTTACCCCCATGGAACTCGTCTCCCTCTCTCTTTGGAGGCAGTGAGTTGTACTCTTGCTGGCTCGGAAACTGCTGACTCTGGGGACCAACATGAGGTGTCTGATGTGAATTTTGAGGCCCTTGTGGTTGCGTGTAAGGTCGATAGCCCATGTACTGTTGTTGTGAATGTGCATACTGATGGCTCAGCTGCTGAGGCATCTGTGAATGCTGGTTCTGCATTGCTTGCTGCGGCGTTGGCTGATACGTCTGTAGAGAAGGATGCCCATGGGTCTGTGGCGCCATCGATTGTCCCTGCTGTTGGGAAAACTGTTGACCTGACTGTTGAGGCATTTGCTGGCCGGGATGTTGCTGCTGCTGCATCATATGGGGTCTTACGTGTTGGGATGGGAACTGTTGTGGCTGTTGTTGTAAACCATGCTGCTGAGACACATGACCAACTGGTTTTGCTTGTTCGAGCTGAGCTTGGTGGCCTTGTCCTGCAGAAGGCACAGGAATCTGAGCAAGCTTCGGTGTCGTGGAAGGGTGCGGAGGAGCGCCAGCTGGCAACGGTGGAGGCGGTGCAGAAGGTCTTTCGTATTGAGTGATGTTCGTTTCAGGATTCCAGTAATACAGAATCCCGGTGCTTCCATCAATAAGCCCTTTCCATGGTTTGGGAAGAGTTGGATCCTCTGGGGCATATCTCGGACCAGCAGAAGCTGGAGCTGCTTCTGTCGTGGCCATATGCAAAGGCTCTGCAAGCAGAAAAACTCTCATGTTACCATCCAAACGCTTTGACATAAAAAAAAAAAAATCATCTTCATGAGACCCAATTCACCCAAGCTTTCACACTATCAAAGCCTACATGCCAACATGATTCATCAACGAGATAGTCAAGCTAGGCTCACGTGCACAAATTAAATCATTCATGATTCAACAATCAATCAATTAACATCATCTACTTCCACTAGACCATAGCACAGATAGGCCGAGATATCCAACTATCACCAAAGTATAAAAATTATCCGAAATCAATTGAGTTAAGCTACTGAGAAACAAAATTTAAGGTGAAGAAACCCCGAAGACGATTTAGGGTTTGAGAGATAAAACACTTACATCGACGATGAAAGGTCGCCGGAGCCACCTGTGCGAGTCAGAGATGACAAATTTCTCCGGTGTAAACCAGAGGTGGACGAAGAACGTCGCTGCGAGCTAGAGAGTATAGCAGAGGTTCGGCGTGTTAATGGAGAAGTGAGGCTGGGGTTCACGAAAGAGAAGCAAGTGTGACGAATACAAGCAACACGACGTCGTAATGGAAGATCCTCAATACGACGTCGTTTTGTTGTTTTTAGGTTGAAATGAAACGACAGCGTTTTATTGTTTTTAGGTTGAAGTGAAACGTCGTCGTTTTATGTTGAAATGAAACGACGTCGTTTTTTGGGTTGAAAATGAAACGCCATCGTTTGCAGCTTCTCTCATATTGCTGCTCTTCTACATTATTTTGGGTAAATTATATTCGGCCCAACCCAAAAAATGGGTAAAAGTTTCCACGGAAGCTGTTGTTGTTGCCCAATCACTTTCATTGGCAAAAGAACCCCTTTCATCTGTTTCAGAACTAAAGCGATCCAGAAACAACTGAGCCATTGACGAATATCAAATAACCGATCCAAATTTTAGGACCTTCAATAACTGTTTCAACAATATATGATTATTTAAAGACCAATAACAACGTTTAGCTTACTTTCGGATACAAGAGATTGCACCAAGTGCAAGGTTTTCAATCAAATCAAATCAGAGGATAAATCTCCATATCTGAGTTTTAGAATCAAGAAAGCATAAAATGAGAGAAATAATAATGTCTGTACATTATAGAAACTGAAATAGCATAGGGAATTGAGTAAAGTAGATCCCTCCTCTACCATTAATATGTCAACGGAGATTCTCCCTCAGGGCAAAGGCTCTTGTGAGTCTCCAAGGCGAGACAAGTGCAAGTAAGCATCAGTCCCTGCACATTTCAGCAATACACATAAAATCAAAACTGTTTGTTTTTCTTCTTCTTCTCGTGAATGATCTTAAAATGAAGATGATTGAGATATTGCAGGTTGAAAGACATTTGATGGATATGAAACGGAATTAGTATTCGACTCACCGTATCCTTCCATGGATATGATCTGCAAATCTCCACCAAAATATCGAGCATACAAGCGACTAATTGGCAAACCATAACCATAACCAGCCATAGTCACGGGAACATCAGCTGTTCCTAAATCTACTCCTTCCTCAAGCGGGTTTCTTGCGGTGCTGTAAAGATAGGTGAATATCTTGGGGAGACCGCTTCTTGGTATACCTCCACCTTCATCTGACACCTATTAGATCAACCCACAACAATGGTTTGGCTCAAACCGTTGCAACAACAACAACAAAAAAAAGATACTAAAAGCACAGGAAAGCAACAAGAACCTTTATTGTGACATCTTCGATTCCATCAGCAACTATGATGCGGATTGGTGGTGCAACTCTATCAGAGTCAACATATCGCTCTTGGACAGCACGTAGAGAGTTCTTGACTAACTCGTATACCATAAGATGCAAATGGGTTGGAACATACCTATGAGAAGGAGTAGAAAAGGACACCGTTCACCATGTGAAAACAAAAGTTAAGGAATGAGTTTTTCAAAACAAAAAAGGTAAGCTTGAAACTCACGGGAAGGTGAAACTGGGATCCCCGTATATGTTTATATCCGGAGCAGAACCATACTCTCGGAAACAAATTGATCGAGCATCTTCACTGGCATTCCTTGCTACCTCCACAGGAGACATCTTGGTGTGTATGTAACCCACAATGTGAAGTGGCGGGTTTGGATTATGCAACTCAACATGCTGCCCTGAGAATTTCATTATAACCTCAAAAAGTATTAACACACAGCAACAGCAAACGAAAACACTTTTCAGTCAAAGGACAAGAGAGAGAGAGAAATCCCAAAGCACCAAGTCTTACCAATAAGCATACGGATCCCTATTCGCGACAAGTAGAAGCGATCAAGAAACTGATGAATCTCATCAAGATTTTCGTAGACAATCCTTGAATTCATTCCTTTCTTTAGCTGATTAACACCCAGAGCCATCATGGGAACCACGTTGTTGTGCCTTACTTTGACGGCTTTAATCATCTGAGTGAACTCTTTCTCGTCAGCTGTATCCTTGATATCAGGAAATGCTCTCATGTCCCTGAATGATTCCACATACCAATCCCTCACCTACAAAAACAGCAAAGTTCACATGAAAACTATAACATGATTCGACCTAATACATCATCCAACAAACCTATTTAAGAGAGAGATTTGGATATCAAAATTGCCAAAATTTAATGTCATTTACAAAAGATAGCAGCACACCAAATATGTTCTACGGATTCCTTTTTCACTGTAGCACAAACAATAAAAGCCTTTGGAATGGGAGAAATTTTTAATAAATCACACCGAATCTAATCTTAATTCTACTTTTCCATAAATTCAACAATTATCCAATTTCAAACAACAATCTCGAGAGCCAACACGCAATATAACGAGCAAACACAACGATTCCAGCAAAAATTCCGTAAGACCAATTAAAGTTGAACCAGAAATTCGATATCCAGAAACAAAATCGGATATGAAAAGCGAGTTACCGGATAACCCAGAAATTCGGAAAAGTACCTTCAAGACGGCAGGTTTCTCGGAGAGGCCGTAAGGGAGGGACTCGAGTTCGATCGCTCTCCTGGCGATCCGAATCGGAAGCTCCTTGTGTAGAAACTGTGCCGAAATCAAAAGGTTTCTCTCAGTGGGCGTGGAACCAAATTCCATCATGTATCGGAGGCTCACACCCGTCTGCTTCATGCAACCCCATTTGTGAACATCCTCGATCAAGCTCTTCGGAAACATCTCGGAGGCCTTCTTCACCGCCATGAACCAGAGAAACAAATCTTAACGTCGTCGTCGCTCTCCACCGCTATCATCGACTGGACGAAAAGCCGCGCAGATGATTGGATATCCAGAAACAGAGAGAGGATTGGCTTTGGCATCGCCAAATGATGTATCTGGTCATTTACATTAATGACATTACTAAAAAGGTTGAATTGTTTTGCCCGCTAATTTGATGGATTAGGATTTTGGCTATTACGAGTGTCTCCAGTGATATCGTGTGGTACTGGCTCTTCTGGCAGAATCTTTTACTGTATTTACCTTTTTTAAAGATTTTTTCTTATTCTTAAATGAAAAAGTATAATTTTCTACTTTTATTATCCTCAAGTTCTTAATTGTATAATCTCCCAGTAAATACAAAATTTGAATCGAATAACGTTTTATTCTTCCTAAGTTAACTTATGTTTTGAATTTTATGTGAGAAATTTTATTTAAATGGTTATTTCTTTCAAAATGTGGGTTATTTCTTCCACATGAGAGTGACATGACTAAATCCAACATGTATAAACAACGTGTCGTTCGATCCATTTGTAGATGAAAAGTGTGTCGTCTTTTTATCATCAAAACTATACGGTTTGCACTGTTGGATGCAAACGATGCCGAGAGTTGCAGGGCCAATACTCCTTATGTAGAGAGAAGCATGTCCAAAAGGCTTCTGACCCGTTTCTTCTCGTATATATAAGCCCAACATTTCATTGCTTCAAGAAAAAACAACAATAAACATACTTATATATATATGAACTTACATGTGTTGATCTAATCTCTTAATTAATACTTATTTTATGTCGTTTCCACTTGTAAGCCATAAATTAATTTTATATATTTTACTGCTTGATCTGACGTTAATGGTTTTGATTTTTATATACCTAAAATAGTCGAAAGAAACCAAAATGTAAAACTAATGGAAACTAATGGTAATATTTTTATGCTTGCTACATATGTTTATGGTATATAAACAATACTGCAATTCAAAAGTATTGATCAAAATAGTATAAATGACATTGTAATGGAAAATAGATGAATTCAGTTCAATAGTCAAATGTATATCTTTGTTAAATGAATATAAACCTTTTCTTAAAGTATGTTAATTTGTAACATAAATTTAGAGAAGTCGATGTAGAGAAGAAGTGTTGGGGTCAAAACTCATAAGCATGCCTCGATGTAGAGAAGTCGCAATTTTAAAAGTATTGTTTATTTTAAAACAACAAAAGAGTTGGTCTTTGACTTCAATATCTTACCGACTTCCCTGAATCTTACAAAAGCTAGCTTTCCTTCTAAAGCAGCGACGTTTAAATATTTCATTGACCACATTTTATTATATTCATGTTTTTTTGTTACTTCTCCATCTGCATGAGTTTATCTTTGACTTGTTCACTCCATTTTCTATTATTGTTTTCCTCCGTACGAGGTTCCTCCGTTTACCGAAATTCAAACTAATTCGGAATCCAATCCATCATGTAAATTCCACATCAACAAAGTTATAAATACCTCTAAACTTACAAATACATGGTTTTTACTTTTTACTGTTATTTCATTATGATTTAAGAACACAATTGGTCTTCGCTACTTAGCTTCAAGGAAAAGAATTAAGGCCCAGTTTCAAATATGGGCCTTGCTTAGAAGCAACTGAATCATTCATGCAAAATTGGTTTTTCACTCTTACGACAAATGTTTTATGATCCACATATGAATTAAGAGTAGGTGTTCTCATTATTTTTCTCTTTCTCGAAGGTAGTATAACCCTATTCGTTGACTCTATAACTACTAGATGGAAATCGATTTTTT